AAATAGAAATGAAGAGAATCTTTCTCATATTTCTTTCTGAAAAATCTTTAAAAAGTCCTTTTATAATCAATGAGAAATATTTAGATACTTATAGCATATCAGTTTGACACCCAAAGATGAAAATTGATTTCTCTATTTTATTCACTTGTAGTATCTACACGTATGATAGCCTGTTTTGTTTTCAAAGTGTGTTCCAATGCCCAAATACTCAGATTTCTCAAGGCCACAATTTCCACATATTTTTGTTGATAACTGGTATTATTTTATCATTTTTTTACCTTCTTTATAAAACTATTGTTGCCAAAATGCCAAAACTATTTTTAAAGTTGTAAATCAGGAAAGTCTGAGAAATAATTTCTTGAACTGATTCTCAAAAGTAAATTCAACACCACAAATAGGAATTATCCATTTAAAGCAAAACAGAAGATCTATGTGTATGTATGTAGATATATATAGATAGATAGAGATAGATATGCATAGATATATAGATCCATAGGTCTGTTTATTCTATTTTGGGCTACATAATTAACACTACAATTACATGAAAACACCATATAACTAAATAAAAGTATTATCAGCACTTTATATCAAAGTGCTGCTTGAGGAAATGTGAGTATTTATACAAATACAAATATAAATACTTACATTTATATGCACTTATATGATATATAATGTTGATTTACATAACAAAAGGGGGAAAATAGAAAAAGAAAGTTAAACAGCATGACATAAAAGAAACAGAACCAGACTAAATAAGCTTAATTTACTTTCACTGGGAGCACTAAAGTCTGAGAGGTGATAATTAGAAACACACATTTCCTTTATTAAGTCAGTATCTTTCCCAAAATGAAAAAAGCCTTAGCACACAATGTCTTTATACTTAAGGCAATAAATCTACTTATTAAATGTATTCATATCAATACATTCAATTCAGAACTATTCAACTATATTAATATAATTTCCAATATATTTTACATAGATATATTATACAAAATATAGAAAATTAGCTATAGAAAAATAAAGGTCTATTTTATATATACATTTATAGAAAAAACAGTAATTAATGCTAATGTTTCCAATCAAATAACATTTCAAAGAATAAGGGGGGGGCAATAAAACTGTTAATTCTGAGTACACTTGAAAAAATAAAGACTTAGAAATCAAATTTTAAAATTACTTGCTAATCTCAGTAAAGCTATATAAACAATTGCATTTCTAAAGGGATGGAGGGACCGGAAGTTAATTTCTTAGGGAAAGTGTATTTTATACTTTCAAAATAAGTTTAGAAATCATGCTGAACTCAATTTTATGTAACTAAAACAGCCTAACACTATTAAATGGCAGATTCTTCTACTTAACATTACTGAACTAGAAATGCCCGTGCTGTTACCCTGGGAGGAAATCCTTTCTCTGCTCCAAAGCTGTTGAAATCATCTGATAACCCAAGTCGGATGGTGGTGTCCTGCTGCTCAGATCCATGTAACAGCTTTCCATCCTACTTATAATATGGATCTAAACCCCTCTGCCTGCTGTTCTGAACTCATCCTACAACACTCATTGTGTTGCAGTCGGTTTATGGGCTCCTTAATGTCCACCACACAGATCAAGCATGTCCCTGCCCAGGGTATTACATTTGCTCTTCTTTCTTCTATGTAACTCCTTCCAGAGACAGTTGTATGTCTGGTTCATCTAAGCATTTAATTCCAATTCGAAGACTCATTAGAGAGATTTCTCCAAGCCTTCACTCTCTCACATAATGTTTGGGACACCTATTCCAGGTACTCGGGCCCAGTGGTGAATAAGACAGACTAGCTCAGCGGTCTCCAACATTTTTGGCACCAAAAACCGTGGCTCCTATGAGAATCGAATGCCTGATGATCTAAGTTGGAGCTGAGGTGGTGATGCTAGCATTGGCAAGCAGCTGCAAATACAGGTAAAGCTTTGCTCGTTTGCCCCTTGAAGCTCACCTGCTGCTGTGTGGTCCAGTTCCTAACAGGCCACAGACCAGTACCAGTCCACAGCCCAGGGGTTGGAGACCCCTGGCCTAGCTATCTTCCCTGATGAGGCTTGGGGAAGATCCACAATAAACAAAAAAATACTTGACAATGTCTAAGTAGAACGTAAATACTTCAATTCTCCTACAATGAAACATAATGGAAATAGTTCTCTTAACATAGCAAGACATTGAATTGTTAAAAGGATAAATCATAAAATTGTAATATTAACCGTCTTAAAAAATTGTTTGTTGCTCAGTCTCCCTCCAATATCCTCCTCCTTGAATCCCCAGAGAGAGTATAATCCAAACTTTTTTCAGTCTATTCTGTTTTGAAACCCCCTCTGAAAATTATAGGACATAATTCCCCACCTGAAATACTGTCTCTCAATGACCCCATTTCTACCTTCTATCTCCCTACCTGAGTTCCCCCAAAGCAGGAAGTCCCTTCTGATATTTAATTACCCTCACTGTTGAGTTTTTCTCAAAATTTATTTCAATCTTTCATGTAATATCAATCCTTTTTGCTTTCTTCAGCAGAAAATGAACACTAAACAAACATCAAATTCTGCTTAAAAGAGTTTCTTTCATTTGAGAACATTATTAAATTGTCGCTCAGTCTTCAGTTTGATAAGAAAAAATGTAGTTTCCAGTGTCTGCAGGTATTGTAAGATACATGCAGTCATTGAAGTGGAGCGAGTGCTCCTATTCAGCAGCTGAGTTTTAGCATCTTTAGTAAAAGCACGACTTTACTGGCTTCCCACAGCAAGGTCAATGCTCGTGGAAATCAACGACACTGAGTGAAGGGCCAAACTTTGGACACACACACCACCACCCCCACAAAAACAACACACATCAAATGAAGAAGCATAATATAATCCTTTCTGTACATATACTTTTTTTTTCATGCTAAATGCCTTAGCTGTTATAGTTGAACGACTCTTTGAAAATAAGATTTGGATTTTATCATGTTGAACTAAAATAACAGAATTAAATGTTGAGGGGTAAAATTAAAAAAGAAGTAGCTAATTTTTTGACCAGTAAATGATACTATGGTGAGATTATCAAATCAAACTGATATTAGGTTAATAGACCTGAGAGAATACCTCTCTGCTAACTTGCTATTATCTTTACAGGTCCAAGTTCTTGGAGCAGTTACAATTTTATTACTAACTCACAAAAAAAGAATATTAGTAGTACACTTAACAGCCATCCAAATACATTTTAAAACTGCACAGACATAAAAAAGAGCAGAATAAACACTACAAGAATAGTTATGACCACCATGGCACCTCAGAGGTCAGGTTATAAGCGGCCCTGCTCCCTGGTGCCTTCACCACCCAGGACCAGACCTTTCGGTTGAAGGAGATTGTTATTAATATGGCTTTGTTTATTAATTTTGATTTTGGCTTGGTTGATTATGGGAATTTTGGGTTTGTTGTTGCTATTGTTTGGGGAATTGGGAGATAATATAATCAGAACAAAACAAAGCTCACTACTTGAGGCCATCTATTATACTACAATACATTGTTAACAAATACAGATCTCCCATTTTGCTTCTATCTTTGCTTTAAGGAGAATAATCTCTAAACAAAAAAGTATAGAATAAATGTGTTAAAAATAGAATTGAAATCCAAAGTTGGTGAGATGAGACTTGAGCTCATATCAGGTTAGTTTTTTGCTTATTTTATAAGCTCAAGTGGATCTAACCAGGATGAATTTTACCTCCGAATAAAAAAAAAATGACTTGCAAGTGCAATGCAGGATAGATATCAGCTTTTGAGACATAGTAGTAAATAAAAGAAATGGCAGAAGACTGAAGAAAAACGAAACAAATATTTCATTTTTCAAATATATTTTCTGAAAATGACAGACTTCTAAAGTTTATTTCAACCACTGGCAAAAAAAAGTTCTTGAAGAAATCATTAATAGGGTGTGTGAACATTGATGTGTTAATGACTAGGAGCTAGCCTGGCTTTATGAAGAATAAATCATGCAGGTTAACCTAATACGTTTTCTAATAGTCAGCCTAGAGTGAAATGTTATATTTGGGTTGCAGCAAGGCATTTGAAGTTTTTAATGATAAATTTAGTAATTAGGAAAAATTAGATATGGATAATATTACAAGTGAATTAATAGCTAGATGAATAATGAGAACCAAAGAGTGTTGGTTAATAGATCAAATTCTATCTATAATAAATTAACTATTTTTATGGTTTCACAAAGATTTGGATAGAAAATTGGACTATCTGCTTATAAAATTTACAAATAAATAGAAATTAGAGAAATAATATGCTTCACAGCATAATTAAAATCCAAAATATGCAGCTCATACTAATAAACCAAAATTTTAAAATATTTAAAGGAAACATCGGCAATACTACCTATAGATTCCAAAATTCAAGTACACAAATGCAAAATTAGGGAAACATGCCTTCCTTAACTAAGTAATTTACTTTCAATTCTGCTAAGATTTCTGCCTACAACCTCAGGGCAACACTAACTTCTTAATAACCCAGGGAAACGAAAAGAGAGTGCCTTAGACTATTAATTAACAAGATGTGTGTGAAGGACCAGAAGCAAACTATGCTCTTCATGCTGAGGAGCCAGCAAGCAACTTTGCCCAGCTCGAGCAAGGAGCCTGAAGTAAAGAGTAATGAGGACAGAGAAGTTAGACTCGAGGAAGGAACTGACGAGAATAGTCTGGGAGTAACTGCCAGGGAAAAAGGCAGGTGAACAGCCAGAGAAGTCAGAGCAAGGGAAACAATCATCCCAAAGCCACTTAACTCTATGATTCTTCCCACTGCTCTGCTCTGTGTCTTGGAAACTGCATGGAAGGACAGTGGCATGAATCATGCCAAAAAAGCTGTCATTACCATCTCAGCAGAGACTGGGCCATCTTAGCAACAGTGAAAACACGAGGCAAACACATGGTATGCAAGAGGAAACACGAATAATTTTTTTCCTTGATGCCCTCTGGGGTTTGCCACTGCAAAAAACAAAAACAGTAAGCTCACTTCGGCCGCACATATACTAAAATTGCAATGCTACAGAATAGATTAGCATGACCTCGCCTCAAGGAGGACACGCAAATATGTGAAGTGTTCCATTTTTTTGATATATTATAAAATCATGCCCTTGAGACCTATATAATTATTAACCAATGTCACCCCAATAAATTTAATAAAATTTTTTAAAAGCAATGATACACACACTCATGCAAAAACTTTTTATGGAAAAAGTTGAGTACAAGGTATTATGCAAGGTATTTTAGAAAAAACAAATACAGGAGTCCCTCTCTCTCCATGGGGGAAATGTACCAAGCTCCAGTGGATGCCTGAAACCATGGATAGAACTGTACATGTAGGAAAAAACATACATACCTATGATGGAGTTTAACTTATACATTAGGCAGAGTAAGATATTAGCAACAGTAACTAATAACAAAATAGAACAATTATAACAGTATACTATGATAAAAGTTATGTGGATGTGGTCTCGTTCTCTCAAAATATCTTATTAATATGAGATGATACAATGCCTACGTGATGAGATGAAGTGAGGTACTCAGAATGGTGTGCAATTTAAAACTTAAGAATTGTTTATTTCTGAAATTTTCCATCTAATATTTTCAGACTGCAGGACTCTGTATAAGCAAGATACCAACTCTGCCTTAGGAGCTCAAAATTTAATAGAGAAGTTTTCATGCATAGAATACAAGGCAGTATCTGTCGTGTTCAATGAGTAGGACAAACAGTGCTAGAGATGTTCAGAAGATGGCAGGACTCCTTTGTGTTGGCTCATGAGGAAGCCCACTGGAGGAAAAGGCATTCAGCAGAGCTTAATAGCCCTGTGCTCTCCCTGGATATGAGACAGCCTATTATTTGGATAATGCCTCAAAATACAGAAAAATCATGTGGCTGTATGTTGATTTCTTCTGTCTGCCCTCCAGATCGTCTTCTACCTTTGTTCACCCTGGTTTCTTCCCTGGGAGACTGGCCTGTGTGGACTGCCACAGGCATCTAGTTGGGTTCAGTCAACCAGAGGTACCAGCAGGCAGCAGAAGACAAGAGGCGAATGAAGTCAGAGTCCTTGCTCTAATCACCTCCCTGCCAGACTACCCAGATGGTCTGTGTCTGTCTCTCCAAAGCCAGCTGCTGTCATAGAACCTTCTCTCTTCAGCTCTCTCATCAGCTATGGGGTCCAATTCTCTCTCCTTTTAGCCTAGTGCCTAGCGGGGCAAAGACTCCAAGCCGACACCAGCCCTGAGGAGCTACGCTGTCTCCTATAGCCTTCGCTAAGCCCGGCCTATGCCTTTATAAATTGTCTTTTTATTACATTCTGCTCAGTTACCCAGTTTAAGTATGTGATCTCTTTCCTGGCAAGACCCTGGCACATATAGGTCCCTTCTGGGTATCATATTCATATTGCCAAGCTGAAGACTCTTATCAAATCTTGAAATATGAGTCTTTGCTTATAGAAAATTAAATATTAGAGATTGAAGACCTCAATCTGACTATATAAGGACTCTTAGGAAGGAGATAAGCCTAGGCAATGGGCAGAAGCAGGCACAAGGTCTTGCCTTTCCCCATATCATTAGTAACTTGGTGGATTAGAAAGACAGAAGTGAAAAATGTGACATCAGTAAGAAAAATAGCCTCCAACTTCGCATCACTGGACTAAGCTAATGACAAGTGATTTCTTAGCCAGGGTATAGAGAAATTAAGATTCTTCACCTATGCCTAAAAAGCGTGACCCCGTGACCTCTGCCGCTGCTCCTGCTGCCGCCATCACAAACTGAGATCGTTTCTTGCTGTTCACTGTTCCAGAGGAGGCCACCAAAGACCAAGCAAAATCTTAGGCCTTTGGTAATAAAAACACAATAAAGTAGGCTTTCAAATTTGTTGGAATCTGCTGCTTATTTTAGTAAAATGTTGCAAAGGCAGCTTCAACATTATTGGTAATACTATTCTTTAGTTTAGATAGAATCATATGTTTATTTTGTTATATTTCTCTCGTTTTTCCCCACTCCATCTGGCCTCACCATTTGCATCAGCAACCGAAGACTCAAAGCTGTGCCTGCAGAAGACTCTACTGAAAATTGGAGAGAAGTTTACATCATTGCACGACATTGCCAAAAATTTACAATTAAGGGTTGGACTTCCTTTCTGCCATTTCCACCAAAAAGGCATTTTCAATGGTTGTATCTTCTCATGCTCCAGCCACCCATCAGACTTCAAGGTTTTCACGCTTCTCCCTGGATCGCTCGACTCCTAACCTCCCCGCCAAATTTCTGTTTGTTCCTTAGCCAGAGGAGTTTAGCAATCTCTCAGTGTCTCAATGCATTCTAGGGGGGTGTGTTGGTACTCGAACACATCTGTTAAGGTTCCCAAATGTAGACAATTCTCTTGAGATAAACTCTCCACATTAGCTTAGAAAATAATACAGTGTTTTTTTCTGTACCACAGCTGTGAATGCTTTGTAAAAGGAATAGATTTTAATATTCATATTTTAAATCGTCTAATTACCTCCTGCTTACAGACACCATCAGTGTCTGACACATAAGTTTAAAGGAAAGATGAATAGAAGTCTTTTCTGGAGACTTCCTCTTGCAATAACAACCTTTATATTTCAGAGTTTAAAATACCCAACTTATGCCTCCATACTCCTTCCTTTCATAGCTCAAGGCAAATATCAGAACAGTTTCATAAGACAGCCTGACACTGGTTGGCAGGCACCATCAATACCGCAGACTTTAGACCTCTTGGCATAGCGCTCTGCACACAGTGGGTGCTTGATAAATATTGATGACTGATTGAGTTAGGCTCCAGTGATCCAGAAAGCTCACACAGAGACAACCACTTTGAAAAAGAAATTGTGTTTGAGTTGTAGGCTAATAGGAACTGTGTAAATAGATTCTGACTAGGGAAACTTGTAGAATTAATTGAATGCAGTTTTAACTTTTCGATTTTTAATTTTCAAACTAGTGCTCTGTTATGGAGTGAATTGTGTGCCCCTAAATTCATATGTTGAAGTCCTAAACCTCAATACCGCAGAAGGTGACTATATTTGGAAATAGAGTCTTTAAAGAGGTCATTAAACTAATATGAGGCCATTAGAGCGGACCCTAATCCAATATGACCGGTGTCCTAATAAGAAAAGGCGATTAGGGCACAAACATGCCCAGAAGGAAGACCATGTAAAGACACAGGGAGAAGATGGCCATCTACAAGCCAAGGAGAAGAAACCTTGGTTTCAGACTTTTAGCCTACGGAATTGTAAGAAAATAAAATTTTTGTTGTTTAAGCCACTCTCTCTATAGTATTTGTTACAGCAGCCCCAGCAAACTCACACATACTCCCAAAACCGTCTAGTAACAGGTTTCTTATCATTTGGGGGAGGGGAATTCCCTGAACTCTCTAAAAGTTTGATGAAAGTCTCTGGAATCTCTTTCCCCAAAATATGCTCACAGGTACAAAACCAAACTTTTGCATATAACTCCAGAGAATTCATGAACCCCTTTGATTCCAGACCCATGGTTAAGTTTTCCTGTATTTAATATCAAATATCATCAAGGGAGATGCATGAAGAATTTGCTGGACTAGCTCTGAGAGATCTTCATTAGGAGTGGTTCACTCGCATCTCCAATGCTTGATATAAGAGGTATTGTCATTACCTTTGCAACCTAATAATAAATAATACGTTAACTAATGACTAATTATATAACATCACAAAATTTCTACAAAGAAAAGTAAGCAAGACTGTGGAAACAAACCTCGAGCATAAACTTGATTCAAAACTGTAATAAAATAATTTTGAAAAATAAGTGAAAGAATAACTTTTTTAATGAAAGGGCTTAATGAGCAAGTTGAATATATTTAAATATTTATCCAACATAATACTTAAGAAAACAATAATTATGATCAAGATTTAAAAAGAAAAGTGAAGAAACTATCTCTGCAGAAATGAAATGAACTAGAATGAAATGTATCTTTTTTTAATTAAAATATGATATGATTTGTGTTCATCAAGCAGTTTCAGCTGAATCAAAAGGAAGAAGCCTGTCTACACAAAAATGCCGTGAGGTAGAAGCTCAATGGCTGGATGTGTTGGAGCAAGGGCTAGATAACCAGTTGCTGGGGTGTGAGAAGAGTTTCCGGTGGTGGGCGGGGAGTTAAATTATATGCTCTCTAACAAACACCTACACTGTACCAGTTAGAGAAATGCAAAATTAAATATCACTGTACAGTGCACTGTGTCATGAGTGAAGGACAAACCAATAGCGGAATTTAAAGAAAAGTGCTGCCTTTTGTAGTGGTGAATTTCTAATTCTGAGGTGCCTGAGCTCCTCTTTGTTTTGCACCTGACAGCATCAGCGAAGGGGCAACATAATCAATTTAAGGTTATGTTTCAGGGAGCATGAAAAGGTGGTTTGCCAACAGAAAACAAACCTGCTGTTTTCCAGTACAAGCCAGCCAGGAAAACTAAAATCCTGCATCAACCCTAGAGGGAGAAGAAGGCGATGTACCTGTCCTTTGGCCAATCATCAACGTGGCCTTGCATTTCCACATCCACGATTGTTTGTGACTGGAGACCTCTAACACCAAGAGGTTCTTCCTGGCTTTTTCCATTTCATGTAAAATACTGATTGCTGATTGTTAGTTTTAAGTTTCACCTTGAAAGATAGCTTATTCCAAAATATTTTTAACATACATGCTATAAACCATTAAGAAATAGAAGATATTCTCTTAAAAGAAAATGAATTTTTTTCCCATAAAAAATCTAGGTTCCTGTAGAAACAAAAATAGACCAAAAATATTAAATCCTTACCACTAGATAAATTCTCACATTGAAAAATAAGTTACTTTTTTTATTTTAAAATGGCAAATCTGTAGGTAAATATTACTAATTGGTGCCTACTAAATGCCACAGAGATGGTTTCTCTCTTTATTATTTTTTAGAAGTAGAAAGATATTTGTTAGTGGGTCAGTTTAATTGCCCTATTAATGTGCTAAGCACTTTACATGCGTTATCACATTTATTTTGTGTAATAATCTTATGAAACAGACACTATTAGAAATTCCATTTTATTGATGAGAGAACTGGAGCACAGATC